AGAGAGGCTATGAGGACTATTAACTCTTTAATAGTCAACGACAAGCTTGAGAAAATACAAGATCAACTCAACAGCTTGTCTCTCGCCCAAAATCGAAACACACGATCTGGTCTTGAGGTTTCCACGAGTAGAAACCTAGCCCTCAGTAATCGGGGAAGAGGTCGAGGACTTCGACGCCCGGGCCCCGTCCGACCATTCAATTATGGCACAAGAGGAACTTTCCGAGGAAGTTTTCCTTTTAGAAATCCTTTTGCGATGCCACGGAATTTCTATCCATTTCCTCCGAATTACCTTGCGCCCCCGTATCCTCCCGATCCTGGCGCTTATCCATCATCAGATTCGGCTGTATATCCTCCGCGCATGATTGACCCAGCCGTATATCCGCCGCGGACCATACGAGGTAAGAGAGCGCCTAACGCGTTACCTTTGCCTCCGGCCAATCTCTTCTGCATCCTTTGTCTTATTTCTTGGATAACACCTGTAGCTGCTCAGGCATATCAGATTTGCGGGTCTTCACAATACGCTCAAACCTTTTCTCTGCCTAAGACCGTCGCTTGTAGAGCCTCTCCACGAGAACCAATGATTGCCACCAAGGTTCAACTCTTCGGAGTTAAAAATGATCCTCTACAATTATCGGGCGTAAAATGCTATTAAGACGTAATCAAAGTCCTCGTGTACAACATTCTGTACATCCGGACTTCCTACACTATAATCGACCGTCTGCGTTTGCCTATGTCAGTCGAAGATTGTAAGATTGCCAAGACCATCTATAACGTTAAGGGCCATTTGATGCGACAAGTGACGCAAGGGTTATACATGACTTCAGAAATAGAAGATTCTAACGCCCTCTATACCCTTATGGGGATCCGCTATTCACTTGAGGACCTTGTATTCGATGGAAATAGGTGAACTAGCATCCTTTGACGGCAGATAAATAGTAAGCCCACTAGCTGACCTGCAGAATTGCACGATTCAGACCGGCAGTTGTCTTACCATCTCCGCAGTCATAGTCTGGGAGCCTATCACAATTTCGCCTTTTTGCAAATTGCAGCTCGTAGGGACCTATGACGGACTAGTAACATCTTCATACATCGTCATCCCTGAAAATGAGATTACTTTGCAGTTTCACACCAATTTCTATGTGCAGGCTAATCTGGTAAGGCACTGT